GTGTCACAGGGAACATCCACACAAACGTCGGCCGTTTTTGACCTAGCACCCAGATGCTCACTCTGAGATTCGCATGCAGCGCGCGAATCGCACCTCCCGCGCCAAAAAAACAAGCGGTGGAGCCTGCGAGCAGGCTTCATCACAGCCTTGCGAAGGCACCTTGTGCCAGGGGCTGCTGTAGGGATCGCTACAGCCGCACGTGACCCCGCAGACCATGCGCAGCAAACGTGCCTGGCGATCCGAAACCATCCCAGGCGGCCCTGGCCCATAACGCCTGGAAGCCCAAAAAAAGCGCTACTCATGGGGTTGCCCCAGCGGACGCCAACCAGGAGGAGTTCAGATGGGATGGAAGGAGACGAAAGTTGGATGTTCGCCTCACAGGGAGAAAATCGCCGTCCCAGGCTCCCAGGCCCAATTCCCTGCAATCTGCTGAACCCACAATCCCTGAGTTTGCACCTGATATCGAACAATTCAAACCAAATCACCTGATATCCCGGAGTTACCTCCCTGATGCCCACCTCGACTTCCTGAAAGATCCTTTGTACAACCCGCATCAACCCACCAAACCAAAACCCACTCATTCAACCCCCCTGCCATGAACTGCCATGCTCCCCAAAAAAAGAACAGAACATACAAAAAAAACAAAACAAAACTGATTCCCCGTCATCGCTTTCTTGACTTCGCCATGCATCGCATCCGTGCATCCGTGCGCTCCAACGGCTTCCCGCCCGCCGAACGGCGCCTCGCCTCGGGTCGGTCGCAGTGACTCTTCAGCTCCGCGCAGGTCCAAGGCCCGGACGGCCCGCGCGGCGCCAGGCCCAGCGAGGCGGCCGCGTTGCGGCGCAGCGTCTCCACCAGCGGCGTGACCAGAGGGTCCTGGTAGTAGGTCCCTTCGGGTTGCCTCGGCGGAGCGTCCTTCTTCAACCCGAAGCGGGAAGAGGCCGGGAATGGGGCAAAACGAACGCGCGCGAGAGAGAGAGAGAGAAGGGACGAAGGGAGAGGGAGAAAAAGACATGACTGGTCCCCGGCACACGAGCGACGAGCGTGGCATAACATGTGTGTTTTGAGGTCTCCATAGTAATTAGAGCGGAGCGGGAACATGGGGCACTCATGGCCACTACAAAATCTTGTCGTAAAATGCCGGAAGCTTCTGCACACAAATGAGACAAAAGGAATCAAGTGAAAGATAAAAAATACAAAAGGAAAGTTTGGCCCCCCACATTTCAGGGGGCCTGACCTTCCTTTTTCATATCTTGTTCTTCCTGTACTGTATTCTTTTTGACAACATACTTGTCTACTTGTTCTGCCAGGAGTAAAGATGTCAATTTCGGAAACCTGTGGACCATGGAAGCCAACTCAGAAGACCAACACAAAGTCATAAGGTAGGTAGAAAGCCATTAGAACGCCAACTCCGCAAAACTCGGGCCAACATCCCCAACTGGGACACCCCACTCATCCGACACACGCCCGCTAATTGACACCCAGAAACCATGCTTCGGTCTCGATGCAGAAAGCCCAAGCAGCTACCTCCTCGCCGTTTCGACACGGCACGAACGGCAAGTCGCACCCATTCCACGAACGGTCGAATGGAAAAGGATCCACGACCAGGACCAGGACCGTCACACAGAGGTACCAATGTACCGCAGCTTGTTCACTCGATGCCGAACCTTTTTGCACCTTAGACCTTCCAGGGTCGATGACTCGTTCAAAGCAAAGCGCTGCCGAAGGACACCACCTCCGGTCAGGTCCCAACGAGGTGAAAAACATGGACCCGGTCGTCCACTCCAGACCGAGCGGATAAGACCATGTTCTTTCAGATGGACTGTTTGAGATGGAGAGAGGGAAGAGTAGATCCCATGGTTCCCTGTTTTGGCCAAGACATCGGCTGATCGAAAGTGTTTGTCAGGGAGATGATTCTGCTGCTTATGAGGCTTCACATGTTTCGTCTTGGCAGTGGTTAGACAGCCTGATACCGATTGTGAAACCATCGTACCACAAGAGAAATATGTGTCTGGATGTAGGAGGGACCATCAAGATTGAAATGTTTCAAGATAAGGGCATGGGACTTTCTGATGTTACCATAACCCTCTAGGTTCACCAGCCGACAACCTCTGGAGAAATCCCCTGCCCAAAAACCTGCCAACCAGTCGAAATCCTGGGACATGTCACGCGCCAAGAAGGCACTGAAGAGCTTGGAGGTGCTTCGGAAGTATATCAACTCCGGCGCCTCGAGGGCTTAACGGCTGACGACCATGGACGCATAAAAACCACCCGTAGCTACTCCCGTAGTTCAGCAACACAAATCCCACAAATCCAACCCAAACCCCCCCACACACAGACAGGCACAGACAACCAACACACTCGACATATTGCGTACTGAACTGATCACCCCAAGCCCTGAAGAAGAACAATTGCCTGGGTAAAACACATAGTATGTATATAGTGTGGTCTGGCCATCTGAAGAACACCAAAGCTCCAAATTGAAGACGCCAAAGCGCTAAAGTTCAGGCACAACGACCTGATGTACCTGGAAACAGCCTGAGCAAGGGCGAACCATTGGAGTCAGTGTGTTCTCAAGCAGGTACAGGATTAAGCGTCCTTGATCCCTTCCCATCTGTGATCATAGCTTCGTTGCGGGCAGTAGACCACAGATGCTGCACGCCTGCAAAATAATCTTGAGGCTCCCTCACGTGGGGAGCCAAAAACTGAGGGGCAGACTAATGTGCATGCGCGCGTGCAAAAAGGCCAAAAAAATGCAAACAAACATGAAAAGGGGATTTGAAACTAGATGTGCGCGTACATGCTAAGGGCCGGATCGATGCGCGCGCAAAAAACGGAATGGGGGCAGGTGACGGGACATGAAGCCGGAAAAGACATGAAACGTAAAGGGAAACAAAGTATGTGAGAAGGGGAAAAGGAGGGAACGAAACGGAGGGGACGGAAACCAAGGACACCAAACCTCATTAAGGCGAACCTGGGCAGACCGAGCCTGGTTTGGTATGCGCACGCCGTATGTGCACAGAAGGCTCCGACAGATCCCAATGGGCCTTGAGAAACACTGGCCGCTGCGGCCACCATGGCATTAAGCCCGCTGCTGTCCGCTATGGACACTTCCGAGGGCTGCCAAGGTTCAATAATCCAGCAAATCTTGGCATAACGTGTGGCTTAAGCCCACTCTGCTCGCTTCGAGCGACTCTGGTCCCGGGCGTAGGATGGACAAACCCCCGTTCAACGGGGCCATGACCTCCTCGGATTCATTTCGGGCTGGCACAAAGGCCAGACACACTCGAGATACTGCGTACTGAACTGATCGCCCCAAGCCCTGAAGAAGCCTAAGTGAAAAAATTGCCTGGTAGTATGTAGTGCGGTCTGGCCATCTGAAGGACACCAAAGCTCCAAGTTGAGGACACCAAAACGCAAAAGTTCAGGCACAAAACTCAAAGTCACATTAGCACTTTACGTCGACCTGGTGTACCTGGAAACAGCCTGAGCAAGGGCGAACCATTGGAGTCAGTGTGTTCTCAAGCAGGTACAGGATTAAGCGTCCTTGATCCCTTGCCATCTGTGATCATAGCTTCGTTGCGGGCAGTAGATCACAGATGCTGCACGCCTGCAAAATAATCAAGAGGTTCCCTGTGACTCCAAGGGTGTCACACACACACACACACTTTGATAGAGTTCATCCGAGTGAGAATCCGGGAGTGCAAGGCACTTGACTGGCTAGCTAATGGTGAACGGAAAGGTGAAAGGTCAGCGTGCTTGTAGGTGCTTCAACAAAGCATTCGGAAACTAGCTGCTGAATACTTAGCACTCTTGAATTAACGGCATGCATAGAGATATAGGTTCCATAAGGGAGCGAGACATATGAATCGCTCTAAGGATGTTTAAAAAAATAGAGCCTCCTGTTGTTTGTAATCGCTCCATTAGAGTAGACAAGTCTGCCGACGAACCCTGCCTCCTGTTTTCGGGCGAGACATAAGAATCACCCGGTAGAGTAGAAAAGTCACCGTAGCTCCCAGCTATGGCCGCCAAGTTTCCATTCCCACTCTTATCCACAGCTTCATTGCGTGTGATAGGATAAGAGTGTCACACGCCCCTGCTCGAACGAGTCAGGACAAGTGGCCTTTGGTACAGGGTGTGACACAAACGCACACAGTTATCACAAGTCAACCGCAAGAATCAATAAATAGACCCCAACCAATACAACCACCAAAAGCCATCCCAAGCCGCCACCCTCCACACCAACTGCAAAACTTCTTGGGATGATCCTATCCTGCAAAGTAACATATGTTCAGGCACACTTTGTTCCCCCCGCCACCAGGTAACCACACACCTCACGACGATCTCCACCCCCCCGTGCCACACCCACGCGTGCGCGCGATGCGAGAGAAAAGGATGCTGCGCCTCGGTGGGAGGGCGAAACTTGTGACTCTGCACCGCAGCCTCAACCACGGACAGCTCGCCGGCCACCTCTGCGCTCTGCACCTCCTGCGTCACCAGCCCCAGCACCAGCTGGGTCTCCTGCACGGAAAGCCCAAGCCAGCTGGAGCCGTCGAGCCAGCATGGAGGAAGGACCTAACAGGTCAAAGTAATGGGAACCTTCCTTGAAAGCTGTGTGTGGTCTAAGCCTTGGGGCCCTGGGCAAAGTGGAGGGACGCTGAAGAAATCACGTCACGTGTCACGAGACAACTTGTTGAACCATTCGACATGCGTCTTGCCTGAAGAAGAATCGCCACTGTTGTATGTATGTGTTTGCGACTTCTGTGGATGAAGGAAGTCACATGGTGATTCACCCATCCATCCATCCATCCATCCCAACGAGCTTCTGGCGATTGCTTTGTTTTCCCCCACATCCCACTCGGTCATGCGAATGGTCATCCGGTCAGAGGTCCGGGATCCGACGTTGAAGACGGTTTTGGGACGGTGAAGATCGTCGTAGTAACTCAGAGTCCATCGACACCAACTTGCAGACCATAACCTACTAGCGATTGGCCTCCAACCTAAGAGCGATGGCCTCCACCCCTAGACAGCTTTGTTTCAATGATCAGGGGGTTTTCCGGCCACTGGTGCCAAAGTCCCAAGCACCTGGCCCATGTGCAATCCACCCCCATGGGTCGCTCCGCATTCCGCGCCACCACGAAGGACTGGTTGCCCCCACAGAGCTCATACTTCACCGCCACCATGGACTCCACCAATGGCTGAATGAGCGAAAAGTAGGGCACCAAAAAGGTGGCTAAGAGCAAACAGAAGAGGAACAGCGACTCTGCTTGGCTCCGCCTCACGGCAACAGGTCACGCGTGACGGCCGGGATCCGGCAACTGTCGTAGTCGATGGGGGGCTTTCTTCTCTGGTTGGGCACTGCACCATCCTTTGGCGCGTGGAAAGCACGCATTCGATCGAGACATTCGCACATATATGGCGCCATACTTCAGTACAGGTGTAGAACGGCACGTGGATCTATGTGTGTGTGTGTGTGTGGGTGTTCAGTTGTTTTCTGCCTGAATCTAGGTGGACCAAGGTTGAGTTGACTTCTTGGAGTGGGGGCGAGAAAGGAATGAAGGCGAGGGTCATGTAGACACATCCAAGTTCACAGAAGGTTCATGTCAAGTGATCTGTCGGTTTAAACGAGTTCCTTCATTGCTTCAGCTCTTTTCGATGGCTCTAGGTCTTAATTCCGTGGCATCCCTCAGGTCGCACCCTTTTTCGCGCAGAAGAGAGGCTCCTTCCGTCTCTCCTTCCATGCCGTCGTCTCACTTCGACCGAAGAGAGTCGCACTTCGACACATGACGATGGTCATCCGATGTTCATGGCCCATCCCATCCACCCCATCCGCTTCTTCCGTGACCGATCGACCGAACGAGCCCATCAGTTCGGTCACTTTCGACCACCAGGTCACCATGACTGTTCCAACACAGTGCATTCGGGTCTGTTTCTCTGCCGGGCCATGAACCCCCCCGCTTCTCTGCGGGTTCGACGTCGCTGCGAATTCGCGTGCGGCCAGACACAGACGTGGAGGGCCTAAGCCCCCCTCCCCCAGCACTCCAGCACCCCAGGTGTGGCCTCCGGCTGTACTTCATCCTCAAGGGCTCCAGATTCTGCACTGCCAGTTGGATCGTGATGGGTGTGAAGCCTGGCTGAAAAGGGCAACACGAGGGGCTGTTTTCCTCGTTTTCGGGCCAGGGCGTTGATCAGGTGGCAGTGATACACATGATGCCGCTGTAGGGCCCACAAGATTGCAGGCTCCTGTTTGTTTTGGCATCTAGAATCTATAGATACTGCGTGATGTTCACCTCAAAAAGCGTTGGAGTGAGTAGGGTTTGGAATGCACGCCCATTTAAGTTGTGTAGACCCGCTCATCTTTGCAATAAAAAATAGAGGCCTGGGTGTTGACTAGAGAGGAATACGACCATTGTCAAAAATCCTTGTTCTTTTTGTTTCAACTGTGACCTGCACCACCTGAAGACATGACAGACAATCTGTAGGAATCCAGTAGCAGGAAGAACCACATCTTCAAAGTCCTTTGGTAGATATGAATTTCTTGGTATGGATCAAACCTTGACTATTCACGATGAAACGGTCAGAGAAAACGGTAGATATGAACATCCTACTGTTGCGGAGTTCCTATCGAATGGACTATCGAATGTTCACGGCTCCAACCGTCCGTCTCCAACGCTCCAAACGGAGCACCCGCCTGCGAAGAGGAACTCGTCCACGTCTAAGATGGCGTTCAAGGCCACGGCATTCAGCATCAGTTCCTACGCGGTCTTCGCCGCGGCGCGTAGAAACGATCAGTCTCGAGTCTGGTCTAGACTGGAGCTTTTTCGCGGCGAAAAAGAAGAGGTTGGAGGTGGGAATGAATTCCGTACACGTGTTCTTCCTACATGGAATCCCTGGATGGTTCTGCGCCGCCCAAACTCGTTTGGCTTTCACCTCCGAAGACACAGAATTCCGTGGAAGCGCCGGTGTTCACTCCACCTCCATGTGAGGAAGTTCCTTCGCAGTGTACGGCACCGTGAAGGAAGGACGGACGTTTGTTGATCTGATTTCGCGTGAGTTGAACCTTGAACCATCGCCGTTTTTGGCGATGCCGAGCACCATCACAGTCCACCCTAAAACCTTTCCAGCCACAGAAATGTTAACCTGAAGCCTTAGCTTCAAAGTTTGCTACACAATGACCTAAAAAGACCACCTCCCACAACTTCATCTTCCACATCAACGTCTGTGTCCCTCCAGCGGGAAACCCCACGCCGAGCAAGGCTCAGTGATGGATGTGGTCTGCGCCAGCCAGCGGATCCCGGCGCCCAGAAGCAACGAGGCGATGAGGACACGCGCAAGCAAGGTGAAGAGTACCAGCTTTAGACGACCTTCGAAACAAAAGAACATCACAGACAAACGAGAGAACGGCAGCAGTGGGGATAACAGTCTGCTGTCGTTTGGTCCAAAGGAGTGCTCAAATTATCCGGTGGGTCAGATCTTTTCGGTTTTGAGACCTCCACCTCTCTTTGGATGTTTGCGTTGAGGACATCCTATCTCCGGCTGCTTCCTATCAATGCTTGGTGAAAAGGTGACCAAGTGACCAAACATCCGAAGGAGACCGTTGAGACCATTGAGATGGCTTCAGATCAGCAGGGTTGCCCTTCGATAAAGGGCCCAAGGAGTCAGGAGCCGGCCACCCGCCGACGCACTTCGATCCACGCGGTCCGGGAGGTGCTGTGGAACGATCTCCTCCCGCAGGGAGGTTTGGTGTGTCCAATCAATCACCAAACACTTGGTTTCTTCTACCATGTCCCTTGAGGGTTCTTGCCATCAAGAAGACCGTGTTTCCACGTCATGTTGATCATCAGAAACCACAAAGTCCGCTCCTTCTCGAACGGTTCTCCCTTCAAAACGGCTTCGTTCCTCCCCTGGTCTCCCGTTCTCGCCTTTGCTGATGCTGTAAAAGCGGTTGTGGCGGAAGTCGGTCGACCAGCTTCGAGGGATTTGCCAAATCGCCTCCAGGGCTAACCAAACGCTCCGATACTCCTTGTAAACGCACAAGGCCCAAAGCAAAATACATAGCATGCCTGAGCTGAGCGGGTCTCAGATGCGGAAGCCGAAGCTTTTGGCATTTTTGCCCATGTCCAAGGACTGTCCAACATCAGCACCTTGCGCCTTGTTGCGCCTTTGGAGTCTTGAAGTCTTGTTTTGCTTGTCGGAAGGAAGGTATGCCGCAGGAGGCCCAGCATCAATAAACTCTGGGGACACAACAAACTTGTTTTGGAGAGCTTGGCCATTTAAAACTCGGATTCAACTCCTTGATCCATCCATCTATCCATTCGTTCATGTCATGTCATGTCATTTCACTACGTTTCAGCCACTCATTCATTCCTCAACTGCTTGGATGGGAAATGAAATGTGGTGATCAGGTGGTGTTGGTGTCGTGAAATCAGGGCTGCCCAATTTGCAGGGATGTGCGGTGATGATGTGCGGTGTCTTGTGGGTCAACAGAAACGTAATCTGCATAAGAGGCGGCTATGATTTGTGGGGATTCCCCACTTCATCTGGTGAGACTATGACTTCATCTCACCGGTCGCATTGACTTAGGCCTCGATTCTACATGTCTGTTGCACCCAATTCCTCATCTGCATTGCATGGCTGCGGAAAGGGAACAGCTTTGGACATGAGGGGCATTGTCATTCTGTACGAGGGTCGTTGCCTGGGAGGTCTCCCCCGAACTGCTACACACCCATATATCACTTGCAAAAAAGAATTAAAAAGATTGTGAAAAGAACATTGTTTTTCGAGGTCCTAGACATCCACTGGGGGGTCCTAGACATCCACTTTCTCTCGGCTGAGCTTCGCAAACGATGCCGAAAAACGCAGTAGACCCTGCAGTGGTTGAGCCTTCCGAATCCTTCCTGCAAAACCTGCTCCTTGGAATCCAGCCCCTTTTCCCCTTGGTGCGGGCCGTGCCACAAAGCAAGGTGCCCGTTTGCCCGAAGGTGGGTTGAAACTCGTCGAAGCTGAGACTCAGAAAACTATTGATCTGATCGATCAATGTTGCCTTGCAGGGAGCGAGGCTTGCGGACACCCTGGGGTGGAGATTTGTATGCAGGGGAGGAGATTTGTCAGTGGAATCTAGCTAAGGCATCTGACCAGAGTTCAGGAAGGGGGAAGGTCTGTATACCCCAAAGCGAAATACTCAGGCTGCACCACGAAGCAAGTTTTTTTTGGAAGCAGCTCCTCCAAACAAGGCATCTTTGTCAAGCCATGGTGCGATCGAATCGGACCTGCCTAAAGAAGGGACAAGTCGTTGTAAAACCGAAGGATCTATCGCAGCATTTCACGAAACCTTTCGGGAGAACAGGGAGAGTAGGTCATGCACACTGCCTGGGGCAATTGGACGGATTCGTTGCAGTGAAGCTGAAGCCAGCTAGCAGCGTTCGCACGCACGAAATCAGCATGGTGGACGACTGCGAGTCGTCCAGCGAAGGAGTTCGGACGCATCAAAACCACATGAGTTCGCCCCACGAACAGGGTCCACGCATCCGTCTTCGTTCGCACAGCGCTTCGTTCCCAGCGAAGCGACATGGTCGAGACGAAAGCGCCTGTGTGGTCGACAGGATCAGAGAGCCATCGCCTTGGCAGACCCGGCTCACCAAGGAGGTCTCGCTGAGGTCCATGTACTGCTTGTCGTGCGCGATGCTCGTGCGCCATCTGAAAGCCGTGGCCGGTGGCGTGGGCCGCACACGGTGCTCTCGCAGGATCGAGAGCCACCGACAGGCCCGAGAAGGTGATTTGAGACAGGGATCCAGAAACGGGATCTAGATGGTCGAGTGAAAAGCCACCTGATGACTAGCTGAGAAATGCACCCGTTTGAGAATACAACTCAAGACCATAGTCGTAGTTACTCTCAGGGCCAAACAACTTGGCGAAAAAAAGATGCCTCGTTCCTGCAAATGTGTTTGACGATTCTGTGAATAGAAGAACGCATTGGCATTGACGATTCGATCTCTTGTCATCCCAACGAGAAGAAGACTGAACACCTGGTTGTCGTGTCTTTTTGACACCAGCAGGCAAGTTGGCATCTTACTGGCTCGAGCTCGAGCACCAAATCAAACCTTAAATCAAACCTTGCAGGTAGCCTCCCTCTTCCCAAGAAGAAACTAAAAGACATGTTGCAGAAGCAAGAGCTGCAAACTGCAAACTCCAACTATTGCGTGCTACGAAGACTGTTTGAAGACTGAAAATTTCACCTCCTAAAGTTCATGTGAAGTCTTTCAACAGCCTCAGGTTGCAATCCCCATGTCTCAGCCTGGCCTTTGAGCGAACGGGATCTGTTTCACGAACGGAGAGCCCATGAAGTCCTCCACATACACACACAGTCTCCACACCGATGCATCAACAAGAAAGAAAGTAGATGAGATGCCTCGTCCTGGTGGCATGGATGACTGGTGCGGATTCGGATGCTAAGACGTTGGAAACATCTTCACTGAGGTCAATTCGGATCCAAAGAATTTGGGTCGCTATTTTTCACTCGGTCTGCTTACATGAACGTGGTAGCCAGGCCCTCACAAAACGTTCTTGCTCCCATGTTTGCTCAAGTTGGAAGACATCATATGATCAAGTCCCTCAACAAAAAGCTGTATGTCTGTACACGTTGTTTGTATAACATGAAAGTAGAAAACCATGCATGAAATGCCATCCTTTCTTTCCTCACTCTAAAAATCGGCACCGTCTTCGGTGCTGCGCAAGATGAACTCAAACACCACCGTCTTCGGTCCGTTTCAAAAAGAAGAACACCGAAAAGATGTTGTGACACGCCACATTCAAGAAAGATTCTACATCATTCAAAAAATTTTTGTTTCTGCCCCTTTGGATGCGAAATCCGATCTTCTTTGCCAGGACCACTCACCTCGGCCGTGGCTTCGTCAGATGGCTTTCGCAGTTGATCCAGCTTACAGGGTCCCACACCTGCCCTGGAATAAGGGTGCATTAGTTTTTATATAAGAGGTTATGGCTGAGTAGTATGCAGTGATTCAGTGGGCCCTCCAAGCAACCCCCTTTTGGCGGCCAAACGACACAGGCCGCCACAGCCTGTGGCGGCCTGTGGTGCCTTTTCACGTCACCGAGCAAGGTTGCGACCGATGAAAAGGTCCCACTCGCTCCTCTGTCATGATAATCACGGAGAAGGCCACTTGCATGCCTCGAGACACTTGGGGGTTTGGATCGGATCGGATCAGGTTTGGATGGCTTTGGACCAGTTCTCGAGACCTCCCGAGCCGACCAGCCCGAGCCGCCCAAGTTCAAGAAGAGCAAGAGCAGCGCGAAGCTCACATCCCAGGGGCCCGCGGTGGCCAAGCCCAGAACCAACGGAAAGCTCCAGGCGCTTTCGCCGAAGTGGATCTGGTGCACATGGCCCTGGCGTTGGGCGACAGGTGGCGATGCTCTCCGTCCCGGAACCAGGCTTTTGAGACAGAAAAGGGCCGTGTGCAAAGACCCCAACAGAGGAGATCCGTCAAGTCTTCCATTCTCTTCAAGTGTCACCGGCAAACCTCCGTCCGAGTCACAGGCATAGATAGCGGGCATAGCTCCTCTTTAAGAGGATCTTTCTTCATAAAGAGGTGCTTATCCAATTCCATTGTGTTAGCTGTGTCCATTCGAGGATCATCAAAACAGGGAGAAGAAATTGGATCCTTGGGATGAAGAAAAATGTCAAATCCCCAGAGCTTCCAATGACTCATCTTACCCCACCTGGAGTCATAATTCACCACCACCAAGGGGCGTAGAAGTCGTTGTTTTCCTTGCCTCTATGTTCAAAGTTGGACCTGTTCATGCGGAAGTCTCCAGCGAAATCTCCACTTTCTCAACTGATTCCGTGGCCCTTGCGTGCCGCCTCCAGCAGGCTCCACCCCTCCTCCCCTCCTCATCATCTGCGTCCTCCGCTCCACTGGTCGCCTTCAGCTCCGTTGCATCCAAAGCAGCCTGCCTCGGAACCTCCTCCAAAGGGGTTTCGCGTCCGGGGGGACCTTCAGGCCTTGCAAGCGATCAATCCTTGTCGAAACAAGCGACGAAATCACAAGCTGATTTCGAGCCAAAACTCCTCAACGCCCCGCCGGCCGTGTGTGGCCCGACACTCTCGTCAACTCCTGCAAGTTCGTGATCACCTCAACTGCGTCATCGCGTGGAATGTCCAGCTTCAGATGCGTTTCCACGCGTGCCAGCCGCACGTGAAGCCGTTCCAGCTCGTTTTGAAGCTCCTGAAGCTTGTGGCAAGGAGGGAACGCTGAAATCTGGCATCCACCCATGGAGAACTCTGTTTGAGCGCCATGGACGGAGAACTCTACCATCAATCTCCACAAATGATCAGATTGATCACTATGAATGTCATCAGGCAGTTGAAGCCCCTACAACGTTGTACCCGACTGTTCAACTCCAATTCCAATGGAAATCTTTGAGCATCCCTCATATTTGCTCGTGGGTCGTGCCTTGGTGTTAAGGGGCAGGATTCAGTATGTTGCATTGACTGAGCGGCGCCCATGATTCATATTCCTCTCCGAGCACTGGTATGCAAAGAAAAATCTACCTACACCGGTCTGTTGACTGCATGGAATGGTCCCTCTTCGTATACGGCCATGCCCAAAAAGCGAAGAGGAGACCACTTGGCAGGCTAAAAGAACTACCACCAGCTTCTATCTTTGGGGTGGGTGGTAGAGTTGAGACAGAAAATGAGTCTTTGTGTGAAGAAGGTTAGGATTGAGCCATTGAGCAGGACTGCAAAGACTTGCCCTCGGACCCTGTCGTATCCACTCCACCACGGCCCCTGGACAGAGGGCTCTCCTCATGAAGTCTCAAGAATTCACTTTGGAATTCTTTCGAGGCAGTCGGTGTCGGCATGACACCCACAATCGCCGGATGTGATGAGTGTCCAACAATCCCAGCAAGACTGGTTGAAGACAAGACATCGAACAAAGAACAAAAACCCGTCCACTGCATCATGTTTGTCCTGTTTACATTGTAAAATAGAATCTATGCAAAATCAGCTACCAATTTTGAGTCAGTCAGTTTCACAACCTCCTGAGAGGAAAATTCACTGGATTTCGTTTGGACTTGGATTCACTGGGTGCTAGCATGATCGCTGGCAGCCTATTTTTGGTCCATGTTTATGAGTATTCCAATGTTGATCTCATCTACGCTAAACTATCAAGCCCAAACATCAAGTGTGCAAGCATGACATGGAACTTTCTGCAGAATCAAGCAGCCAACTAAACAAAAACAACTGATTCCAACATCGACACAGAGCTGTGAAACTGCACATGCAGCAAGTGTACGTAAGTCTGTCCCAACACACCTGCTTGGACCACCACCGTCCTTGTATCTTGATGCTCAAACAGTCCGCACCGCCTTTGAACCACACGATTTGTGGTCAGTTGGTTTTTGGTCAGTTCGTATGAGTGCAGAACTGCGCTCATCAAAAAGTGACGCCAGCAGCAGCTACACGACCACACGTCACCAGCACCCAGGCTCCAAAGTGCACACGGCCATAGACATCTGGCAGCGGCACCCTGCACCAGCACTGAGTTTCCAAAGCGCACACAGGCACCTTTTCCTAAACTTGAAGTATGACCACCCCGAATAGCTCTCACTATCTGGGGAACAACTCCGTGAAAGGGTCAGCTGGCAAATATTCGGTGTGGTTTGCCGCTACATCTTGGTTTGGGAAACGCAATTGGTAATTTTGGCCAGTGTGGCGCCTTGATCTGTTTGGAGTGTTGGAGTTGGAGTTTCGAACTCACGTTCATGCCCTGCATGATTGGCTAAATGAAATGTGACACCCAGCCTCGCAAATGGATGTTCTAATGCGTCTGCGTTTCTTCTTTGAGTGTACGTCCGCGTTTCTTCCTTGAGTGTGTTTCAGCAACATGCCACGAGTCTTGCGCGAGTTGAATCTCAAACGGGTTCAAGAAGTCTTCCTGTTTCCACTCCCACTCTCTCAGAACTCCTTCTCTATCTTGTTTTTGTCATCGGGCCGGATGCGCGCAGGAGACTCACGGTTGAACGCTTCCAGACAAACTCGAAAGTGTTCCGTTGTCTCACAACAAGAAAGCATTACAAAAGCAAGCACAGCACAACAAAGCAACGCTCACTCCTGCTCCACACACTTGAGCCAAACAAGCAAGTAAGCCATTGAGACAATTCTTGCAGATGAACGATGCGCTTGGAGATGCATGAGGTTTTCGTCCCTTCATGTACAGGACAAAGGAAGTGTCACTACAACAACTAATTTTTGTCCTGAACAGCCTCGATGGACGGTGACGGACTCGCGATACTGATGTTTTCCCGAAAGCACCTGCGAAGGGCTCTCCTTCAAGAACAGCTACCAATTTCAACTGTCTAACAAAACTATCATCCTTATCGTCATCACAGAAATCACAATTGAGATCATGTTTTTCATCATTCATCATCAGCATCAACATCATTAACATCATCATCAAAAACACGATCCGCACAATCACTTTCATCATCATCATCATCATCATCATCATCATCGTCGTCGTCGTCGTCGTCGTCGTCGTCGTCGTCGTCGTCCTCGCCGTCATCGTCATCGTCATCGTCATCGTCATCACCGTCATCGTCATCAACAACATCACTGTCATCACCGTAATCATCATCATCATCATCA